CTCTCTTTTGCATTTCTATTTTTATTTTAAGATATTTTAAGTTATTTGGACACCAAGTGATATTTGTTGTACTTCTGTAAAGATAATAATAATAATAAACATTTTAGGGAAGGATGCTGCAGATCAGAGTGTTTTTACTATCACTGAGATACTATTATAGTTTTTGTTAACATTTTGGATTAGATTTTATTGTTATATTTTATAATTTGAGTTCAGGTTTTAGTAATTTTGTTGTGTGTTTTTGTCATTTTGTTAGTTTGTTTTTCATATGCCTATATAGTTTTTATTATGTTTTATTTTATTTACTTATTTTAGTACTTCAACTTGAACTATATGAAAATGAGAAAATAAGTTTATTTTTTATTTTATTTTATTTTATTTATTTTAGTATCAATGATACTGTTGTAGTTTTTATTAATACTTTGAATTTGTTTTATTTTGATATATTCTGTTTCTATTATGAATTGTGTTGACGTTTTAGTAAAGTTTATAGTTTTTGTCATTTGTATTAGTTTTATTAAATTTTTTTATTATTTCTTTTTAATATGTCTATATCTAAATATCTAGTTTTTATTTTTTATTTCAGTTTTAGTTTTAGTTATTTTAGCACATCAAGCTAAACTAAATGAAAATGAGAAATGTTTCCTTGGGAACTAATGAAAATAAAAGTAAGGTTTTTGTATATATTTCATTTTATTCCAGTTAACATTTATTTTATTTCAAATAATTAATTTTTTAATGTTTTTAATTTTAGTTAGCTATAATAACCCTGATTTCAGTAAATGTTTATTTTATTTTACGTAATGAAAGTGCTTTTTCTAATGTTTTTAGTTTTAATTAGCTATAATAACTCTGAATCACTTTCAGTCGGTCACTCTCGACGTCACGTCGGTGACCGACGAATTGGGATCTCGCTTAGAGAGACCAATACACTTCGAGTGTAAACTAAACGAGACAATGCACATTGGCATGCGATGATTGCATCCAGCTGCCTCTCAAGTGTTGTTTCCTCCTGGGCGCTGGCTCGTGGCGCCTCAATGACAGATATTTGTAGAGCTGTGGGCTGGGCGAACCCCAACACGTTCGCTAGATTCTATAGCCTTCGTGTGGAGCCTTTATCCTCCAGTGTTCTCACCTCAAATGGGTAGAGGCACTGAGAGGCCCCGGTTTAATGTCGGCTTGCTAAACCTGCTCCAGAGTGTCCGTACTGTAGATCCTGTCGAGCTCCTCCATCCCCTCGGCAACCAGATGTGGCGGAACGTCTGGTGCCAGGCCCTCACTCGATGAATCCGTGAGAACCGGTAGAGGGCTGGGTTCCATATGTAGAGACCTAAGTGGATTCCATATGTGTAAAGTCCACGGTATAGCCTCAGAGGCCGTGTTTCCCCGGCAGACTTCTGCCATTTCCAAGAGGGTTATAATTACCTCTAATCTTCCATATTCACCTGAACGGTTGTTCATATGTTTAAGTGCTTATCCTCCTTCCCTAAGTGGAATATGTGTAAAGTCCACGGTATAGCCTCAGAGGCCGTGTTTCCCCGGCAGACTTCTGCCATTTCCAAGAGGGTTATAATTACCTCTAATCTTCCATATGCACCTAAATGGTTGTTCATATGTGTAAATGCTTCCAAAACCTCCACAACGCTCCTGTTCCAAGTGGTACGGGTACGTTTTCCCAGTGTTATCCAATCTCACTGAGTGGGTAATGCTATGACAACGGTGACTGGTCTTCTTCTTGCGAGCCCCGGCCTACACCAAAAAGGGGCGCAGGAGGCTCGCACAGGACACTGGAAGGGGCAGCATCCATGTCGCTTTGGTAGGGATCCCAATTCGTCGGTCACCGACGTGACGTCGAGAGTGACCGACTGAAAGGGAACGTCTCGGTTACGTATGTAACCCTCGTTCCCTGTAGAAGAGAATGGAGACGTCACATCCCGTCACCACAGCTGCTGTCCCACCGCTGAGCGGCCAGGTCACCGGCTCGGCTCCTCATTGAAAACCTGGTATGCACTGCACCGGCTGCCTTTTTATGCTCATGCAGTGATCAGTGGCAGCTGGATGCAATCATCGCATGCCAATGTGCATTGGCTCGTTTAGTTTACACTCGAAGTGGATTGGTCTCTCTAAGCGAGATCCCAATTCGTCATCACCGATGTGACGTCTCCGTTCCCTCCTTTAGGGAACGAGGGTTACATAGGTAACTGAGACGTTTCAGTTAATGTTTATATCACTTTAAAGTGCCCCTATTATGCCTTTTCGAATATTACCTTTCATGCAGTGTGTCATGTAGCTGTATGTGAACATAAACTATCTGCAAAGTTGTGAAGCCGACAGTGCACGATAAATAAAGTTATTGTCTATCAAAAAAAAGAGTCGGCTCACAATCGCCTAAATGAGTCGCCAGGAATTCGAATCTTATTCTGTTACGGCTCTATGTCACGAAGTAACACATTTGCATAATGTCTGCCCACGTTCTACGTCGCCAACTTGCCCGCCCACAAAAGTAAAATTTCAGTGTGGTTAACATCATGTCGCGAAGAC